AGTTCATTTTGACACAAATGTTACTCATGCTGAGACAGTGTTTCACAGCCCTGAACCAAAGTCACACCTTCAATGTCAAGGTCAAGGTAAAATTTGATGGAGTTTTCAGGTCTGTATTTCTATATGCCTCATGGAACAGCTTCATACTTGGCATACAATGCTCCTAATGATAAGGTGGTGTGCCATGACCCTAACACAATGTCAAACTTCAATGCTAAGGTCACAGTAGACTTCAATGAAATTGTCTTATCTGAAATGCATTTCATACCTGCCTCAAAAGCACAGCTTACATGACACAAATGTGCCTCATGATATCAGTCTTTAACAACCTTTGACAGAAGACCAGGTGAGCAATATGGGCCCATTTTATGCTTCTTGTCTGGGTTTAAAATATGAAGTTCATAGGTCAAATGGATTTAAGTTATTGAGTCACAATCCTTTCAAGTTTGAAGTTTCCAGGACATATAGCATTTGAGTTATCTCTCGACAAAGAAATGGATGAACAAAGTGATTACTGGTACTCTTTGAGGCTGGGCTCTTATGAACAAGCTGATGGTCAAAGTAGTTCTAAACAATTCAGTACATGTAAAAAAATTCAGTACAAACCTCTATTTGTTCCATATGCTTTGAATCTGGTTGTACTTCATGGTTATTTGGTAGTTCACATAGCAACTCATCATCATCATGATTCTCCTGAAAGTATTTCATATCTGTTTACAAATTTACATGACCCTACTGCATATAGTTGCTGATTCTTTATAATAAACAAGCTGATGCTAAAAGTAATTTAAAGCAAGATAAGTTTGTGAAACAGTATGCCCCCAGCGTCAACAAATATAGAAAAGCTAGTTTTAGCAAAAAGATCAAGATCTAAAGGTTACTAACGTTGGTGTAATTTAAAAGAACTTAATTAGTGGATTATGTATACAAAATATGATCTCACAGTTCAAAAGTCATGGTAAAGGTTAAAGCTGACAACAGATAGACAGAAAGGACAAACAAAAATATGTTCATGCTCTTTGGGCATAATAATTCAGTACATGTAAAAATTTCAATACAAACCTTTATTTGTTCCACATTAATTGGATCTGCTTGTACTTCATGGTTATTTGTTAGTTCACATTGCAACTGATTATCATCATGATTCTCCTGAAAATATTTTAGACCTGTTTACAAACTTACTTGAGCCTATAGCATATAGTGACTGGGATATGATATAAGACATTAAACTGGACAAAGGGGATACTCCAATTTAGTCTCACATTTTCAGAATTATTGTATTCAGAAATTGTGCCCAACCTGATCAAGGGCTTACTTTTTTGGGAAGTCAAAATTTCCTGTAGTTAAAATTCATAAATCCTGGTTCCCCTCCCCTCCACTTTAAGGGTCAGGAGCAAATTTTGAAACCAGAGTTGAGTCTGTTATCCTAGTTTCCCTTCCCCTTTTCAAATCAATATTAGCAACCTCACAGTTTTGTCATCTTGTTTTAGTGTAGCTGCAGAACTGTAGCTCTCCGAAAAAATATATATTGATAGACCTGAGATAATGAGGTATAGCGGGTATGGCTATGAATTTTTTTATGAAATATTGTTTGAAATATTACTTATCAAAAGAACACTAATATGCAGACACACACGATTGGAAATCTACCAATGTGACCTTATCAGTGATTGATGATTATGCTCTAAATAATAAAGTCTGAAATATCTGGCATTTTTCAGTTTTTTTTTTTTTTTTTAATATTTTCTGTGCCAGGAAAACGTCAGAACCAGCGCCATTACGAAAACTGGAAATTTCGCCATTTCCAGTCAGAGTTGATTTCCCATACCTGGGAACCGCATTAAATGCCGTTGTTACAATTTATCAATGGCACAATGCTTTTAGTACTTGACAATAACAATGAAAAGAAAATAATCACTCATCATTTCGATACAGGACTTGTATATTTTTTTTAATTTGTAAACGCACGAAATGAAAACAAATCTCGACAGTCAGAGAAAATGTTTCCATCGGATCATGGATCATATATTTACAAACAAACCATAAAAACTATATTGGTAAGTACTAGAGGCATTGTACTATTGATAAATTGTGAGTTTGACAAGTAATTGCAAGTATCGAAAATACACCCGAGAATGCCGCCTCTGCTTGGAATTCCAAGTTTTCGTAAAGGCGCCGGTTATGGCGTTTTCCTCGCACGTAAAATATAGAAATAGTTAAAAAGCCAAGAAAACGTCAGATATTTCGGACTATAAAGAGTACTTTTCAGTCACCTACAAACTCTTGATGCTGTCATGTCCTCTGTAACCACACAAGACCTGCTTTATACATCTTTACATGTTGTTTTTCTTCTGCGACTTCTGCTGCAACAGCAACTTTCTGTTCTTTATCAGCAGGAGAGTTCCACAAAAGGGAGATAATCGTTCACGCGTTTTCATATTTGTGGTACATTCTAAATCAAATTATTTGCTATAGAGTACCCAACTACCATTTTTTATTATTGGATTTATAACTTCAAAGCTCGTAGTTTCTATTGCATGTATGATTATGATAGAGTTTGGTTGCGTTTTCGTGTAAAATACTTATAAAAATCATGTTGATTTTACAGCATTTGGTAGAAACAAAGCAAAGTAGGCCCCAATGCTTTAAAATAAACATGGGAAAAATTAAATCTCCCATTTATATTGAAATTAAGAAAAACATAGTTTGATTCTGTAATTAATTTTGACAGGGTTATCAATAATCAAATTTCACACTTTTCAAGCATTAAAATCACCGTTGCTATGGTAACAAGGAAGATGTGACCCAAATAACTCATGTTTGAAAGGACATTCATCTATACTTCCATGAACCCAAATATTAAAGCAAAATATTTTTTTTCACATTCCACTCACTTTATATACAATACTCAATGGTTACTGACACGGCCTCTTAAATTACTAGACCAACTAAAACTTCCGTAAGCATTTTCATGAATTTAATGAAAAATTAATAAAATTTTTTTTAATCAAATTACATTTTAACGTTAAAGATTAAATGTCTGAAGATTTAGACCCTAACATTGTCAAGTTAATTTTTTTAAAAGTAAACTTCCAAATGTAAAGTAAAACTAGAATATTACATTACGATTACTTCAAGAATTTGGACGTCAAATTACAATTTCTAAAGCAATGCATTGCATTATCATTACTTTAGTAAAGTAATGCATTACAATTACCATTAATTTTGCTTTTATAAATCAGAATAAAACTTGGCTACAATTTTCATAAAATTTCAATTTTGATTTCAAGTACTTAAATTTATTACACTATCAGTATTTTTTTTATATTCATAGGCAGTTAAAAATTTTCAATTGTCAATAAGATAAATCATGTACAACATGCGCTTTTTGTGTAACTATTAACGTCATACTGCAATTTTTGGGCAAACAAAACCCTTCCTAAAAACTACGGTGTTATTAATATCTAAATTTATAAATTATAGTTATCTGGATGTAGTTTCTTGTGAGGAAAAATAACCAGAAGTCTCTGTCGAGACTGTAGCTCTACTGGTTTGTACTTATAATAAAGGATGAGAAAAGAAGCCATTGCCATCAGACCAAAACTGTTGAAGGAGTAGCGTTTTAAAGGAATTTCACAGACATTTCTATTTTTAGTAAAATGGCAACACTGTTCATAGAAATCAAAAACTGATGCATTTTTTTTATGTATCTTAGTGTAGTTTACTTGTGTGCAAATTTATATTGAAATCAGACCAAAACTTTAGAAGGAGTAGTGTTTTAAAGGATTTCACAGAAATTCTACTTTTAGTAACCATGGCAACACTGTTCAACCAAATCAAAAATCTGATGCTCTATTTTATGTATCTTAGAGTAGTCTACATGTGTGCCAGGTTATATTGAAATCAGACCAAAACTGTAGAAGGAGTAGCGTTTTAAAGGAATTCAAAGACATTTCTATTTTTAGTAACCATGGCAACACCGTTCATCGAAATCAAAATCCAATGCACTATTTTATGTATCTTAGTGTAGTCTACTTGTGTGCCAAGTAATATTGAAATCAGACCAAAACTGTAAAAGAAGTAGCGTTTTAAAGGAATTCACAGAAAATTCTAATTTTAGTAACCATGGCAACACCGTTCATCAAAATCAAAATCCGATGCACTATTTTATGTATCTTAGTGTAGTCTACTTGTGTGCCAAGTTATAATGAAATTAGACCAAAACTGTAGAAGAAGTAGCGTTTTAAAGGAATTCACAGAAAATTATATTTTTAGTAACCATGGCAACACCGTTCATTGAAATCAAAAACCGATGCACTATTTTATGTATCTTAGTGTAGTTTACTTGTGTGCCAAGTTATAATGAAATTAGACCAAAACTGTAGAAGAAGTAGTGTTTTAAAGGAATTCACAGAAAATTTTATTTTTAGTAACCATGGCAACACCGTTCATCGAAATCAAAAACCGATGCACTATTTTATGAATCTTAGTGTAGTCTACTTGTGTGCCAAGTTATAATGAAATTAGACCAAAACTGTAGAAGAAGTAGCGTTTTAAATGAATTCACAGAAAATTCTATTTTTAGTAACCATGGCAACACCGTTCATCGAAATCAAAAACCGATGCACTATTTTATGTATCTTAGTGTAGTCTACTTGTGTGCAAAGTTATATTAAAATCAAACCAAAACTGTAGGAGGAGTAGCGTTTTGAAAAATTGTTTACAGACAGACGGACAGACAGACAGACAGACAGACGGACGACGGACACCTTACTATCGCATAAGCTCTTCTGGTCTCTGACCAGTAGAGCTAAAAAACACTGAGACGCGTAAAAAAGGTTGTACAGTGAGCCTATTTTGCCTCGCTAAAGATAGTTCCTGTCTTCTTTTCCTTTTGATACAATGGATTGGAATGTGTTTATTTTATTTAAACAGTCACAGGTATTCGGATACCTAAATTCGGGGGGTAAATTGAAATTCTTGCTAACAAAGAAAATTTCTCAATCGTCTTCTTTCATATGAAAAAATCCATCTATAGTTGACTCAATCCACGAAAACCAGTCTTTTAGCGTAGGCTTTTTCCCTCTAAAATCCTTCCCTCCACGAAACTTGCTCTTGAGTGGATTCCCCCTCCCTGAGAATAGGCTCCAAATAAGCATTTCCCTACAGAAATCCTACACCAGATTCAATTTTCCAGGGGGAATCCTACTCTGCGTAGTAGTTATAGAGTGCAATTATTTCCTCCAGAGCCTATTTCCCTCAATAAAATATGATACCTGTTCACATGTAATAGAAATAAGGAGGGAGGACATACTGTTGAAAGTGCTACTTCTTCAAAATGGTGGCCAGATATTGTTACATACGAGACATGAAAATGAAAATTTTATATCTCATTTTTTTCAGTGATCGATAGTGATTTGAGGTTCAAAAGTAAAAACTTAATTTTTTTATGATCAAGTGCTCAGAGTTGCATTGATTAAGCTGTGTTGGGGAAATTAGGAGGAGTGTAGAGAAAAGTATAGACTCCATGATTTCAAATATATGCTAAGAAAATTCTTACTCTAATTAAGCAGCATACATGTAGATAAAAAAGACCAATTGAGCGTGTCGTTTATCTTTTTCAAAAAAAAAAATATTGCGGCTGTGATTTATATTGGCTCCGTAAAAAAAATCCTACTTTGAGAAAATAAAGAGGGAGATATTTTGATCTGGTGTGGGGAATATCCTAGAGTACAATTTCTAGGGGGGAAGTTGGCTATATTGCATATTCTACTCTACAAATTAACACCGTCGTTTTCCCTTAAATTCTTTTCATGGACATATTACTTTAAAAAAAAAAATAAAATCGGAGAACTCTGATCAACATAACGGAGGAGAATTTAAAAAACTCTACTTTTTCACAAACGAAACACATGCGATTTTAAGTATAATTAAACCTGGTAGTTTTATTTAATAAATAAAAGATAATATCAGTTACCTTTTTTAAATGTATTGCGCAGTTTCCAACAAACCATCATGACAATAAGAATTGCTAAAGCAAGAGCAGCAAGACAATTAGCCACAATCATTCCTGTTTTTTCTTGAACAACTTCTGTGATTATCTGCCGTACATGACCTGTTTCATCTGTATATGTTTCCTCCTTATTTCCTTCGGATGAAGTATGTGTCGTCACCACTGCCTCTGTTGTTGAAATATCATCTTGTGATGTTTGTGATGACTTTGATGTTTTTGTAGATGAAGTCGCTTTAGTACAAAAAAGTTAATGGAATTAGTTAATGTTACCTGCCTAAACGCGCACTTTAATACGAATGAATAAGTTTGTTACTCTTTTTTCTTCTTCAAATATTTCAATTTTTCGAGTGACACATTGGTTAGAGACATGTTCCATGAGCCCGGAGTAAGGTTAAACTTATATTATATGTGATACTATAAATCGACATATCGTGCTGACAAAATTGATCTCCACTACTCAAAGTCCGTAAGTACCGACTCCAGGTTTAAAGTAACCCACCATCGGTAACAGGCAAGTGGTGGCTTCTCTATAGGAGTGACAAAACATCGAAGGGAGTTAAATAAACAAATGTAAAACAAAAGATTAATGGAAAAGGTTTAATCGAAAATGTGTAAGAAAGTGGAGACATGGTATGTAAAGAGTTTATGTTGCATGTACTTCTAATTTTTTTTTCACTCTTCATCACAAAAATGTGAAATATCTTCAATCTCAATACAGGTCATTCAAAATGTATATATTCAATAAGGAATTCTATATACAATTTTGGCATTAAATTTATTGGAAAAAAAAAAAAAAAAAAAATATATATATATATATATATATATATATATATATATATATATATATATATATATATATATATATATATATATATATCTGTGTGTTTAAATGATCGATTAATGTTTTACGCCGAATCGGCAATATTTCAGCCATATATCTGTGTGTGTTTAAATAATGCACTGCTTATTTATCATACATAATAATTCGAGAAAAAACTCGGAATTGTAAATTCATATATCAGGCTAAACAATGCACTGCTGATCATACATTCTAAATCAAGAAATAAGAGGCCCATGGGCAACATCGCTCACCTGAGCATTGTGGTTAACATTAAAGCAGAAATTAGTTTATTGTTGAAAAGTTCAAACCCAAAAGTAGTCCCAACCATTCCTTAAAAGGGGGAGAGGATATGATTTGCACAAACTTAAATCTACACTACCTGAGAATTCTTCATATAAATACATGTATGACTAATCATGGGCTTGCTATTCTTGAGAAGATTTATAAAGAATTTTAGTTATTTTACCATAAATTTCTATGTTAAACTTTGGTCAGCCAGTGTGGCCCCACCCAACCCCCGGGGGACATGATTTGAAAAAATTGAATCTACACTAACTGAGGATGCTTCCATAAAAATTTGATCCATCATGGCCTTGCTATTCTTCATATTTTTTTTAAAAAAAAAAAATCATTTATGTTTCTATGTAAAACTTTGGTTGGCAACTGTGGCCCCGCCCAACCCCCGGGGGTCATGATTTGAACAAACTTGAATCTGCATATCCAGAGGATGCTTCCATATAAATATGATCAATTATGGCTTTATTATTTTTGAGAAGAAGATTTTTAAAGAATTCTCCTATATATTTTTATGTAAAACTTTGGTCGGCCATTGTGGCCTATGCCCGGGGTCATGATTTGAACAAATTTGGATCTTCACTAACTGAGGATGCTTCCATATAAATTGATCAATAATTGCTTTGTTATTTTTGAGAAGATTTTTAAAGAATTTTCCTATATATTTCAATGTAAAAGTTTGGTCGGCCATTGTGGCCCCGCCCAACCCCCAGGGGTCATGATTTGATCAAACTTGAATCTACATTACCTAAGGATGTTTTCCATTAAATTCATCTTTCTTGGCCCAGTGGTTCTTTTTTAAATGCCATTAATTTTTCATTAATTCATAATTAACTCCCCTTGAAAGAGGGCATGGTCCTTTATTTTAACAAACTTGAATCCCCTTCACCTAAGGATACTTTGTGGCAAGTTTGGTTGAAATTGGCCCAGTAGTTCTTGAGAAGAAGATGAAAATGTGAAAAGTTTACAGACAGACAGGCAGATGGACATATAGACAGGCAGACGGACTGTAGACAAAATGTGATCAGAAAAGCTTACTAAAGCTTTCATCTCAGGAGAACTAAAAACTCTGAATTGTAAAATTTGCTTTGATTTTAGTTTGTAAGGTTGTTTACTGATTTCTTTAATGTCCCTCTCGAGAATGTTCACTCATATTGAGTCCCACTATTACCGATGGAGGAGAAGATACAATCGGTTATAAGTGTCTCAAACAATCTAAATTACTTAAGTGACTCATGTGTACACATTGGTTAATGAACGTACGTGTAAACAATGGTCGAAGACAAATGACACCTATATCAGGCGACGATCTGGAATAGAGGTCCGTTCCACTTATTGTAAATGAACAGTCGCGAATTGACGTTTCATGCCCTGTGCAATTCAAATCTCGAATCCAGACCGGCCCTCTTCCTTGTAGATAAGTCCCATTAGTGATTGCTTCTCCGCTGAAATATAAAGGAAATCAAAGTACAGCTTTAAGCATTTATAGACATGAAATAATTAAAATTCCGAGGATGTAAAAATACACAATGCAGGTATGTAACACGAAAATCGAATAAATAACGAATAATGTATCAAAAATCAAATTTTTGCTTTGATTTCCTTTACTTTCAGGAATATTTTAAAACACAACTGAAACAAAGCATTGAATAGTCAGTGTAGGGGCTAAAATTTTGCATGAAATCATTAGAAAAACCAAAGGAAATAAGTATAGAATGTGAGAAATTTACAGATAGACGTTTGCCAGACCAACAGAAAAGCTAAATTTAGCTTTTAAATCATTAGTAAGGCTAAAATAAAGACCAGGAAAAAATTCTGTCTATAGATACAGTATTGATGAACAAAAATAGGCAAGTCTAAACGCATAAGGGAACTTCATTGCGGGTTATCAAATCTCATTATTCCTACTTAACTGATTTTCATTGCATATGCATGTAGCTATTGATTGATATTATTTTCCGAAAAAAGATAGTGCTTTATCGATTGTTTTTAGTCGCAATGCAATAATTTGTGATTTTGTGGGAACACTTCGTGCACTTTACAAGATCTAGCACACTCACCCAGTTGTTCAGAAATTGACTATTGCTTTAAATTTTATACATGATTTAATTTTTGTTTTTTGTGCTTTATAGATCTACTGTTACAATACGTACGATTGAAATCCTAGTTGGGTACAGATAACTTGAGCGTTTTTGCCAGATGGCCAGACGCTGGAGGATGAAATACTTCCCCAGGTTCCTCCTACTGATATTTCTACTCGACCTCTGTCGTACTGACCATCTGATAAACGGACTGCATAATCGTCCATACCTGTAAGTAAACGATATTAAAAACGGAACATTGTCATCAAATTCATGATACATTACTGGTATGACACTCACACATAGAGAAATTCTTGTTGATCAGTATAAATAGTCTATAGATTAAAAACCTCTTTTGTTGTTTTGAGTTTTTACATCGTACTTTACGGTCAAGGTTTAAAGGCCAGTACTTTTGTATTGTATTTTGTATAGTAAAAAAATCCCTATAATAATGTTTTCGGTTTCAATCATTGTGATTATTGTTCAAGTATAGATAGTGCTGTAGCATGAACAGTGTATGTTGCTTTTTCTTTATACATTGAGATTTAAGGTATTTCCATCCTCTTATGATGTCATAAGTTTTTGCAACAACTGTTTTTATATAAATTTAAATTCATGCCAAGTAGACTAATAATTTTTATAAGATTACTTTTCAGTAGATATGTGTGATGCTAAATAATGTTAAGTAAAAGAATCTAAAAAAATGTTTATTTTCCTTTTTAATCAATTATTCGATTTTTTAAAAATGTTGACAAGGGCAATAACTCCTTACCGGGTATCTTCATTCAGACATTTATTCACAATTCAAATGTATCTCAGACACAGCAAGTGTTTCGGAATTTTTCAGCATCAGAATTATGCATTTGAACCAGTTTTTACATAATTTTTGTCATAATGTTTACGAAAAATGTACAATTTTTTTATGTTGACATAAACTTCTGTTTATTTATGTCTCCTTTCCTAAATAATATGGCGACCTACATGTATATATTTTTTGCAATAATTAGAAAATTTAAGCTGTAATAAATTAAAATAAATGCAGGTTTTGAACTTTGAACCATTAAAATTATGACGGTGGAAAAACCTTAAATACATATGTATGAAAATAAAACTTTTTTACGTTAAGGATAAACTCTAAAGCATGTTTCACTATTTCCGCTGCAAAATACAAACGTATGTCGCAAATAAGTTCTTTACATTAAAAATAATAAGGACCACAAGAAAAACTTTTCCTTGATACATGTACACACTTGTAAAGTGGTAATTTATTTTTCATCAAAATTGTATACTACATTTATTCAAAGAATAATGCTTTTTTTGGTGTGAATATCTGGGTTGACAATCGAAATTGAAAATTAACGTTAAAAATTCAAAATAACAAATGCTTTAACTTGACGTGTCGTCCCAAAACAGTCCTGGTATATAATTATATATTTTTGTGCATGATTGCGCTTTCCTCTACCCTCACCCAAGCACCATGTTCTGAAGAAAATATCTTTTTTTAAATATCAAATTCCTTCTAGACATTTTATTATTGAGGACAAGATTTCAAGATTGGTTGTATTCCAAATAATTTTTAGACTTAATGCACCTCTGATATAGGGCCCAACTTAGCACCGCGCCCTTGATTTAAATGGTCGTTGAATGGTAATGTGAAAATGACCACGTTTCAATTAAGATCTTCAGATTTTTTCTCTCCAAGTTCCCTACAAAAGAGAGCATAACAGTAACTGACAAGATTTGAAATATGCAGCTTACACTCTTTTCATCTCTTATACTTCATAAAATGTGTCGATAGAGAGCGAAAATTCGCCGTTTTCAAGCAAACATTAGATTTTCATCTTCGATCGAATCACTTTATCTTTTCTTATACGAATTAGTGTCACAAACAAATACGAAATAATTTGGAAGTATGGAGGCGTACAAGGCGATGTCAATCCCCAGCTCTGAGAAAGGACATTTCTCATTTCTAAAAGTTCATGAAAGCGATACTCGTTTATATATATTTTAAAATATATATGATTTATAGAATCTTTTACACATTTAATTCTGTATTTCATAGTTTTAATATTCTATTTATTTAATATTTTACTTTTCACTCATATTTTCTAGTTCAAATTAACTGGCGAGAGTCAGCGAGACTACAGAGGTAGTGACTAGCACGCAGAGACATGGTAAACAAAGAAATTACGTTTTGTTTCTATTTTTGACACCCTATATAATATCTGTGGAAATATACTTCAATTTCATTTGAATTCAATCAACTTTAATATATATATATATATATATATATATATATATATATATATATATATATATATATATATATATATATATATATATATATATATATAGGTATATGAGGTTGTTTGTGGGCACTGAGCTTCTAAGCTGGTTTGTGGGATCTCGCATTTCTACATTGCATAGCTATGCCATATTCATGATTTAGGCGTTATATATGGTCCTTATATAATATATAATATAATTTTTGAGTTAATATTATAAATATTGTATATAATTGTGGGTCAAAACGTTCATATATATAGAGCATTGTGGGATAAACTATATACATCGCACAATGCTCTTCATATATTAATTCTATGACCCACAATATTATTTTATGCTATATAATTATATTATTTGCTGTAATTTACAATGAAAAAACATTAGAATTAATGTTTGATAAAATATCAATAAATATATTCATGTATGTATATTTACTAATGTACAAAGTAGAATAATCCATTAGGAACAGTTTCGCTGATTTCAATATAACATTTTCATATTGAATAATGATTTATTTATAATAATCTTAACAAGATATTCTTTGGATATTCTCTCTCGCAATGTAATTCATACAATCAACTGCCCAACAATGTTATATTTATATAGTGACCCACAAACAGCGATGGTCACTACATTTATTATACATAGAGTGGCCCACAATCATGTATAATCACATGCGGTATATTCGTCCCACAATTCATTATATACATATAAACAGTGACCCACAGTTTTAACTAACTGCAATATA